TGATGGACGGAGATGTGTTGAGATTGTTGTTTAGGGGCTGTGCAGCCTACCACTCGACGCCAAGTCCGAAGAAATCCGAAATTAGAGTTGGGATGAATCGTTGGAAGTGGTATTCCCAGAGAGAGGTCGGAGAGTTAGCGCATCATTACCTTGTACCCAAAGACTATACAAATAAAAAACGACAGCCAATTAATTTGAATTCCAAACAGTCAGATAGTTTATGGTAGTAATCTAATTATAAAAAGATGAACAAAGAATCAACCATTTTCATGGAGGTTTTATATAGAAAGCGTAAAACAGGAGATTACCTCCTTCACCCATGCCGAAAATACTCGTGCACGAAAATCGCAAGCTCCTACAGCAAGCAGGACATTGTTGGGATGCCAGTCAATACAATTTACTGTCGATCGGATGGGTTTTCTGATTTGTTTTGCCACCCACCTGAAAATTCGTCCTTTTTTCAACAGAATTCGGGACTTTCAACAGAACTATTGCCTATGAAACAAAACAAGGTGGTTACCAGTCATTCTCTCGCTCATAATAGCAGACAGAAACCAGTTTCGATCCACTCCCGACCGCGAACTTGTTCTCTTCCGGCGACCACTTTACGCAGGTCGCAGCACGTTGAAATCGGACCTAAAGCTCTTCGATAATGATGGATAAAATTCTGGTCGATAATATTACATTTGAAGCTCACCAGCACCAACTCCGGCTTCCAAACACCTTTGTCGAATGTCCAGACGAAAGCGTTTTTATCTCTCGAGCAAGACACTATTCTGTTGGTGTTGGGAGCCCAATCAAGGCCGGTGACTGGTAGGTCATGCTCACTCAGTGTGCATGTGTTTACCCAGTCACCATTTCGCCATGCGAAAATGTGGATTTCATTGCTCGAAGCAGAAACGGCAATCTCTGAAAGGCGAAAATATTTCTTGTGATCCTTCACGAATTGGAAAATTTAAACTTTTCCAAAAATAAGCTTCCAGTCTCTCGCATTTACTGGAAACACAGAAAAAGCACATTCAATATTAGCTGCTCATGAAAGAGTAAACCCATACGTGTTCGGTCCTTGTTCCACGCATGACACGTAATAGGCCCTATTCCCAGATTCCAGTGCTGCACGGGAGCGTCCCTCATCTCTGAAACAAACATAGCAAATCATCTTTGCTAAAAACTGGAGAAAAAATCGAAAAAACTCCGCTCATCGAAAAAACTCCACTCATCCGATTCAAAACAGGAATAGAGGGATCTATAAGAATGAAACAAATCAGAAAAGGACTGGTAAGAGAAGGAAGAAAATGCTTTGAAATGTCATTGAAAGATTGGATCAAAGAAGAAGCAGATCGTTTGGTTTAATAAGACTAGAGAAAAAGCTCTTACCGAGACCTTGTATATTATAGCTTACCAGTCAAGTTTTTCAACTTTTATTGTAGCTCAGAGTGGAGAGCTGGTAAATCGATTCATTTATGACTGATAGTTACAGATATGAGGCCAAAACCCTTCCAAGTAGGTTTTAATTGTCAAAGTTGGCAGGAAATGCAGCGTCAGCATACGGGGCGAGCTACTTAAACCGCATCAGCACTTTTTATTTTCCCTGAAACTGTCTATGGTGGTAAACAGGTGGCCTGATCACGTATACGACACCACTTTCGATACAGTGGTCATCTGGTGCTAGTTTGGCACCACAATGGTAGCTTTTGTTGCACTTCCTGCTAACTTTGGCAGTTCACGACTTGCTTGAGAAGATCACATAGCAGTTTTGGTCTTCTCCTGAGTGGAACTTGAACTGGAACGATTAACCACCTATTCCACGAGCGAGAACCCACTGGATTATTTCGCTTGCGAAAGGGACGAATAAGATGTTGCCGGCGCTCGCTCGAGAAACTCGGAACAACGGGACGACAGGTGACACCGGTCATAGAATAGAGCAATGAGCACAGAAGTGATTTACACAATCTTCAAGGTGGGCAAGCCTGAACGTATGAGAACCGAGGAAGCCCTTGGTCAGGCGTATTTCGACGAAAGTTAGCACCACCCCTTCTTTGGCACTATGGCTAAGACCAATTTCAGCGAAATGAACACCACTGTGTTCAAAAACAGAACGACAATTGTGTACGTGAAGCAAGGCACCCCTTGAGATGCTGCAATCCAAACAAGGGTGCTCATCCAGTAGGGGGGCATTGCGGTGCACTGTCTGCTCTAATGCCAATTTGGCTCAAGGAGTCCTTTAAAGTTACGAGCTGCTATCAGCTTTTTCCTATGTTATTTCTTCAGGTGTTTTGTGTAATGTATGTATTCTTGTACTAGATGACATTAACGTCTACGAAAAGTAATATTCACCTAGTCAGCAGGTCAGGACTAAGCCTAGGAGGGGGAGGAAGTCCCCCGGGGAAAACCAAGATTGCTCACGGACCCGGGGCTCCTTCCCTTCTAAGGCTTAGTCGTTTACAATAAAATAATATGCTTTCCGTGGTTTTAAATGCTCTAAATCGCAATACCCCCTCCCGTTACTGGATGAGCGCCCGAACAAACACAGCTAATCACATTTACAAGGAAACAAGCAATAGACAGCTCCTTGAATACCGAAGGTGACAGATGATGCGTCAGCCGGCGATGTTGAAGAAAATCGACGCAATCACGACCAACGCAACGCGGTTACGCGTTCGCCCTGCCGCAGATTTTTTGAGCAGAGCGCGCTATTCGATTCTGGTCTCTTGCGCGCATTGTCGGAGCACGTGATGACTTCGTGCTTCGGCTTCAGCAGAATTTTACTTGGGTAGGGAGGGGAGACATAGTTGACTGGTTTTATCACCAAACAAAAAAGTATCACTTCCCAATTTTTGATCTGAAATTCTCGGTATGGTTGCGCTCGTATCCAGCACCGTTTGCAGCTTGAAAAAAGACGCAATGTGCGCCCCCAGGGGCCAGTCTGTGGGAGGGCTTACCGGGGAGGGTCGAATTCCGTAGATATTGGGGATTGCTTGCACACCTCGGATTCCCTCTCCTAGACCAAGGCTAAGTCCGCAACTGAGTGTTTCCGTGAATCTGACGCAATGTTACGCGCTGTCCCCTCCGGAGCCACATTGCGCCACGATAAATTTGCAGAAGGAATCGGTATGTATTGATTGCCAATTCCCAGATTTCGACGATCTTAGATGGAAAACTTCACAATGTTAAACTTCATTTTTTTACTATACGAACTGCTACACGAGCTCCTCGACATTACCTTACCATTATTAGACATCTCCTTACACAAAACTGAAAGATACTCAAGAAATGGTCAGTGTTTTCCATGATACAGTGTTCTATGAA